GTAGGTTATCCCATAGGAGCCCGTGTTACGGCGAGATGGTCTCAAAGAAGTGGGCGCGGACCAGAGAATACTGACCGCAGGACACCGATTTTGTGTTTTTCTTACTTACAAATATATAGCGCCACTTTATCTGACAGTTTCCTCTCAATCTGGAATAAAAACCCTCAAATCGATACACTCTAGGCCCAACAGCTGCCGGCGTTCTAGGCTCCGTCAGCATTCTGTAAATGTGACGACTTCCCACCATTTCGATTGGCAGCCTTTTGCCATCTATTTTAACGGTGATATTAGTGCGGCTGGTCAGATCCAATTTACAGCCCGGGTTCTGACGCAGTACTGTTTTCCATCGGTCTGGAATCGCGGCTGCAATGCTTTGGATCGTCAAAAAATCAGTTTTTATTGATGGATATTTGAGTCTAATTTTGCTGCTATTCATAATTTTTCCCTCATCATCAACAATATCGTTAATTAACTTAACGCCGTTAAGGTACGCCGTTGATGAAAACGCCGTGTTTGACATGTTTCAAAAAAAAAAAAAAATAAGCGGTGCCTCGCCGCTATCGTCGAAGTGCAATAAACAAACGTCATATGACACGACCCAACATCAGTTCCGCTACCCATTAGGGCAGTCGGGCCCTCACTTCTGGCTATTGCGGACCATCCGTCTGTCATTTTGTTTGCGTTTCCGTATGTCATTTGGTTTGTCGCTCTGCTGTCTGCTTGACGTTTTATCTGACATTTTCATAGTCACACCTACTGCAACGGGCATAAAGATCAGTGGGTCCACGCAAGGCACTATCAAGGGTCAGTGCTGGTTCCTACACAATATTCAAATAGCACGGATCAACCTACGTGGCCTTACATAATCAATAAATTACCAATGCTTACCGCTCCTGTTACCCACACAGTTCTCCACAAGCAACTGCAAAGAAGTTGTAGGTACAAATTTTCAATATTGGGACGCATGCTCACAAAGAAAAACGAACTGCAGCTATTGGTTTTCACGAAGTCTATAGAGCTACTTTGAAACATTGGGGATTTTTAATTATGAGTTAAATTCGTTAATCATTTCGCCAGTAAATCTGAAAACGAAAAACTTTACCACCTGTAAAGTAACACCGCCTGCGATGAGCAGCTTTCATCAAGTCCTCGTCACTCAACTGCGAGCCCAATCTCCTTTCGCCTCCGTCACCGCACATTGCTGAAACTTCTCCGCCCGGCGCCCACGAGCGCGGCCAACTTCAATCCAGGGACTGCTGCCGCCCGGTCCGGTGGTCGGCCCACCTCATTAGAAAGTTTCCCAGCCATTATGTCGAGTTGGCGACGTGGGCCGCCCCGAGGGTATCCCCAAGTCGTTTCGCAGAGATCTTGAGGCCACTTTGGTCTCATTGGAGATCCTGAGGCCACTTTGGTTTCATCTGCAGTCGGTCGAGTTTGGTAAGCCCTTTGTGACCGTCCCAGCCTCAAAGTGCGTGGTGATGCTCTATGACCTCTCACGCCGTCGTCTTGGTCTCTTACTCGGTCACTTGCCCAGTTTTCTAGACAGAAATCCGCTTGAAGAGACTTACCATCGACGAGCGATTTCCCTGGCTAGACTCGTATGATACTCGGCTAGACTCTGTGATACTCGGGACCTCTTGATCTCTTTCTCTGCGCTGGGCGGCGCTCGATGGATTCGCTGAAACGGTTCAGTGCTCTTGAACGGGGCCGGATCGGCTCCACAATCCCTTTATTCGCCACTGAATCTCTTTGGTCAGCCCGCATTTCTGGCAGTGTCTGGCAGACCGACCCTTTGCTCTCTTCCTCTTCATCCTCTACCCCTCCTCTTCCTCTGCCTGCCAAACTCTATCCCCTCATCCGCGGACACCCAACAATGTGGAGAGACCGGATCAGTTTCCATCAGAATGGCCCCTCCGCCGTCCGATCCGCCTCTCCACTGCCCCCCCCCCCGTCGTCGTCGGTCCGTAGTGGGGCGTCGTGTCGCCTGCCGTCGGTCGGTCGGCTCGTCGGCGGCCGTCGGTCGACCGTGGCTCCCGTCGATAACGACACGCCCGATGATTTTCCGGCCGATGCGCGCATCGATCGGTGCCCTCTTCCGAGCGGCATCTCATTTGCGCTCGATGCCGGGCCTCGTCGGCTCCGCTGTGGGTCCACTCGACCGCGAGGGAAGCGCACACCACTGGGACTCTCGGTGTACGCTCCTAGCACTGGTCGCCCGGGGTGTGTGGCTGCGGGCGCCATCGCGGGTGCGCCGACGCCGACGCGGCGCCTCCGATGCCCGTCGGCGGGTCTGTCACCACCACGCGCGAGTTTTTCATCGACCACGCGGTCCCCTGGTCGCTGAGTGGAAACTGGAAGGGTTACCCGGCGGCGCGGCGGTGTATTAATTGAGCGCGTCGACGGCCGCCTGCACGCACCCTCCCGCGGGATACCTAGCTGGGGGAGGACCCCAACCAGGGGCGCACGCCGGCATGAAAATTACATCGAGGGATAATTTGTTTACGGCACAAATGACGATGGTGGCGGACGGCGCGCACGACAGCGCTGCGCCGCTAACGTCACAGCCGCTTCGCCAGTGCCGCGGCGCGTGAATAATAGAGATGGGTGGACGTGATTGGTCGTGGCGGCACACCCTAATCGCCGACTCTGGTTACCCGGCGGCCCCCGCGTGAGGGCGAGTGTGTCGCATTCGACGGGGGAGCTTTGAACGCAGGGGGTGATTATTAGAACGGGTCCGCCTCAGCGGGGGCGCCCAGTGAGTAATCCGTGCTATCGTGAGCCTTATTGAGTCATGCTTTGACGTTGATCGGAAAATCAATTCAACCGCCGCAGCATGACAAAGACTCACTGATTACCGGTGTGTGGTTATGATGGCGAAGTACGTACGTTTATGCCCAACCAAGACACATTTGGAAGGTTTTTTTTGTCTTCGGCAGGGAATCTCTAATGCGGCTATCAATGAAGATATTTACTGTTCACTGTGTTCAGGGTTCTGCTGAAGTTGGTGTGCCTGCTTCTCAGTGGCGGCAGCCATGGACCAAATTGGCAAATTGATGGCTAACTGTGTCTTCTCAAAACGTATTGGTATGCAAGATCGGCACGGTCGGGCGTGTCAATATGACACTGGCGCCGCCTGGTGAACAGCTGACCAACTACAGTTTGTTCGTCTGCCACGATACGACGTGTTCAACAGGCTGTGTGCGTGGTGCGATCGTACGCAATCCAGTGAGTTTGGCGCCTGAGAAGCCTGGCGCAACTGTTGCCCCTGTGAATGGCAGGCTCCAGCTGTCGAACGGCGTCAGATTCTGCTGTTCACATGACGTAGCAGGCGAGATTGATAGCTAATTGGCGCTGTAATGCTGTTAGCGCTTCGAGTACCCGGGGCTCGAGTGCTATTTTAGAATGTTTGCCGCCCATTCAGATTTACTGAAGCCTCAGTCCATTCATAGCCGCCTTCGGGAGGATTTTGGTCAAGTTGCTACGTTATCAGTTCGGTGCCTTTGTATTTGTCACCCAAAATGCTTAATTAAGTCGCCACTTAAAGGGCGATTATCTGAGGTTTTGTAGGTGTGCGATGAGTATTGGGTACCTTAAAAAGAATATCACTTGACAGTGCAAATCCTCATATATTTTCGTTAAATTCAGACAAACGCATTTTGACATTTTGTATTGTCATTGCTACCCTCCCTCATCTTTTCAACGCTCGAAAGCTCGTCATTGATTATGGTGCCACGGTTGTGGTTATTTGAGCGGCTACATTATTACTGCACCGTCACCGAGCTCCTAACCCTAGCAAACAACATTTCAGGAAAAAATTCCCCAGTGTGTGCGCGTCCAATTAAATGTTCCTGCATTATCAACTCCCTCGTCACTGCCACACCCGCCCTCCTCAGACCTCCCTAGCCCTCCTCTCTAATGACAAACTTCATCGGCTGCGCGTCTCCCCGACAGACCTCGAGCTCTCCCCTCCCCTAGCTGTCACTACCGCTTTAATCAATCGCCCCGACAGTCCTGAGAGGCCGTTGATTGGCCATTTTTTCCGTGTATCCACAAAGGTTTTTCATTTCTCCCCTCGTGAGATCCCCTCCGCAAATCCTCTGAGTAGCGCGAATCCTCCACCCCTGCTCCTTCACTTTCATCTCTCCCCTTCCTCCTCCATTCTTTTCGTTTCCACTCGCCCGTGCTCGATGGGGAAATCGCGCTACTCCGATTATTCCAGCTACTGAGGCGTGTTCCAAACGGGCATAGCACGAGCCGAACCGATAGAGCGCTTTGACTCTAAGCAAAATAGCTCTTAACTAATAGTTTTTACCATTTCTCACAGACAGTGACAATACATTAACAATTAAAATATTCTTATTGTATTTGTATTTGTTGCTAACTCGTCATTATCTGTGAGAAAAACGAAAGGTCTCTAGCTCTTCTACATAATCTAACTTTACTTATAGCCTTGAGCCTCGATAAAAATGGAAAGCACTGAAAAGCACAATGCTGTTGATGTTTTGCATGATTCATGTTATAAAGGCTATAAAGGTCAAATTATGTCAATTTCAACATATCTTCTCCATCAAAACGGCAACCAAGCGGCAGGTAAGTTTTTATTAATGCGAGCTCAATCTGCACTAAGCTGAGCTCTAAACAAGAACCGAAGTACGCCAGCGAACACTATACCCACCTCGCGCCATATGCCCTGTTCACACAATCCCCGAGTACTGCTGCCCGCAGCTGTGCGTCTGCTCACGATGATTCTGATTGGCTGCGCTCCACCCGGGCTGCCAAACTCGTGTTCATTGATGTCTGTTCTCCGCTGCGAACGTCTGTGGGCACCTCCATTGTGAAGAAACGTCAGCTGTTGTGCACTCGTCCATCTCTGAGCCTCGCCATTCATTGTGTTGCTTCGCGGCCACGATCCCATCAGTATAATGATGGTACCTGTCTGTCAACTGTCGACCAGAACACGATGGGCGAACGCTGACTGAGAACTTCTCTTTCTTCCGCAGCCTGAAGCTGGAATGCGAAAAGCTGGCCAGCGAAAAGATTGAGATACAGCGCCACTATGTGATGGTGAGTGTTCGAGGTTTTGGGGACTGTGGGAGGTGGGGTTGGGGCGGGACTGTGGAGCTTAGGAAGGTAAGAAGGTGTTTTGCTGGGAAGTGGACGATAGAGAGTGTGGGACAGGAGTGTTGGAAGGGTTTGTGAAAGTTGGGAAAAGGAGCGACTGCCGCCATTGTTTAAGATTTTGTGGTAAAATATAATCGATGTAACGTCTAACTTTTTGTCTGTAAAAAAAATCAAAATTTGCTTACGAACCGGCACGGCCAATACTGCCACTCACTCTCTTGTGACATAATCGCCGCCGCAGGGGCGGCGCCACGGGTTTTCGATAGGGGGGGACGGGGACCGAAAATCGAAAATCCCAAAAGTAGATACTGATCGTGTATGCAAAAAAAAAAAAACGAGGCACGTAACGCCGCGAAACTTGGCAAGGCCCAAAACACATCGAATGGTGCATCCCGTTTCCAAACTTATCCTAGGACACCTAAGATCGATCACCTTTTCAAGCATCCTTGCCTCTAAATCAAAATTTGCAGTCTTGCCAACTCAAAGCTGGTTTCCTACAAGCTGCGAATTGCTTAGGCATAAGTAGCAGTGCCAGCTATTCTTACATTTCGTACTTTCAAATTTTCGATCTTACGTCTGGTCAGCTTCAGGGCTTCACCATCATATACATAGTCATGGAGGAAAAGTGGGAATGTCTTCTGCTCTGACAAGTGCGCCAAAACTGCAATATAATTTCAGAATCATGACATCACCACCTGATCCATATGCAACGGGCAGGGTGCAGCTAATGGCTAGCCGTCAGTGGTCATGTCATCGGTGGTCACTCAAAAGGCCATGCTAGGTCATGGAAGGTCACCAACCGTTATTAGATCACACTTTCTGATGGATTTTACTTGCCAAGAGCTTCGCGGGAAAAACGAGCGCATGCACCGTTGAAAAAATTGAGTGAAAGGGTCTCAGGTCCGGCGACCTCTGCAGGTGAAATGCCCCAGGGTAGGATTCCGGTCCTTGTTGATTAACTTCGTCAAAAATGGCAGTAGAGCTGTGATGTCGGCACCATTGTGTTCGTCATGATCGAGCTGGCACGACCTGCATCGTTCTCATATTCACCCTCCAATCGTAACAACTACAGCAGGGATTGGCAAATGGCGGGGCACCCCCTTTGGGAGGTAATGAAGGTCTCTGGAAACCTCATCCCACATCTCTTAAGCATTAGTGGCTCTCCTTATGGAACAGGTTTCTTGACTGGTCTGTTTCACCCCAGAATTCAAAGACTAGTCAAGGTAAAACCGAGCGCACCACAGTGAGCACAATTTGATAAGCTGGTGTATCTCAATTTTCATGTAGAACCTTTCACGTATCACGGACCTAAAACCCTTTCGTGCACTCATGCAAAAGCAACTGCCATGTTTCAACAGCTGGTAATGGCATTTTCACAGCCGCTGACGTAAGAAGGGGAGGGATGGGGGGCTCGATTAGACCCCCAGCCGTTCGGCCGCCGACCGAACTTAGTTTTGCAGAAAAAAAAAACGAGTGCTATCGAACCCCTTGACGAGAGGGAGCCGATGCTATATCCAATTATAAGGTCTTGGGCTACTGCGTGCTTTTTTGGTCCTGCCTGTGATCTATCCGAACACTTCTCCCCACAAGTGCTGGGGTTAAATGGCATAGATTTCAAATGGTTCCTGTGGTAGAACTGCCATGCTTGAATTTGACTCATTAGGAATGGAAAATTTTCATATAGTAACGGAAATCAATGGAATTTCAGCTTGGTTTTATCGGCAATGGGGTCTGGCAGTGGGGTGGGGAGGTAATAAGTAATAACCCTGCCTGGCGCCCCAAAAAGGGGGCACGATCCCCGAGGCCCTGCCGATCACCTTATAACTACAGACATCACAGCTCCACACCTTTTGCAGATGGCCAGGACCCCTGCGATGCATCCCAACAGCAATCTTTATTCAGAACCTGCCTTGATTAACCAACGATGCATTAAATGCCACGGATAGCTCTATAATGCATTATTATCAACTATTGAACGGGCCTCGCCGATAGGGGGGTACTGTACCCCCCTAACTTTCGATAGCGGGGGACCTGTCCCCCCCGTCCCCCCCGGTGGCGCCGCCCATGCGCCGCCGCCACTTCTTTTTTGTCAACATGCAAATAAAAAAACAACAACGACAACAAAAACAGAGTGGCAGTTATCATAAGCGGTGGCATGTAGCACGTCTCGAGTCCGCTCCCCTAGACCGCGCTGACAAATTCATCACGTCCCGTGGCCGGCTGCCAAGCCCCGTTCACCGGACGGCCGACTGGGGAGCCGTTTCGGTAGGCCGATTTCGTCGATAAATTTCGACGTTGATTTATTGAAATTGCTACCGAGCATCAGTTTTCGAGATAACTTTGATGGCGTGCCCGGGCTCGGCGCCCAGACCTCATACAGGGCTCGTCCGTGATTGAGAAAACTTGGCCGAAACTATTAATTCGCGCTGTCAGGGAGGTGTCGGCGGCGGTCGGTGGGCGTCGGAACATTATTAGAGTTAGGGGGGAGGGGGAGGGGGCCTACCTGGGTCACGTCAGGTGGGTTGGAGAGGGGGAGTGAGACAGGGAGGGACAAAGGGCCTGGGGCAAGGTTGGCGTCTGTTTTTGGAGACGTGTCAACAGGTTATTAAAAGTGTGTTGTGATGGTTTCGGCAATGCATTGAACATTATTCGCATAGGTACTACATATAGTGTATTACGATACGCCGTCAAAATGATTTTCGTGCTACTTAATTGTGATATTTAGCCCGTGTTAGTTAGTTAGTAGCTAACGTGCGGTTCCATCTTAGTCCTTACAGCACAGAACTGATGTCTCGCCGCTGTCTGTTTCAGTACTACGAGATGTCCTATGGACTCAACGTGGAAATGCACAAACAGGTGAGTTTATGACGTCCATAAATGGCAGCTTTCAGCAGTCTGTGAGTCTTAGATGTGGCACACTTCAGTCCGTGGACAATCAAACGATAGTGACACAGCTTTTGACAACATCTTAGTTCGTGTCACTTAACATGTCCCGCATTTCGCACATTTTAGTATGTTCGTTTCAAATCTAGGCGTGTGTGACGCCAGAAGGTGACACGTTCCAGAACATGACACTCAAAACTCACATAATTAGGTTTGTGACGTCCACTCCGTAACGTAGATGATGCTACACACTTCTCTGACGGTCATACGCCCGCTGAATGAGACCAGCGCGAAGATGTGTTTCCAAACACCACTGTCACCTGAACTATGAGAGCTGAATTTTTCTGTCACTGCTCAGTGATTCCTTCCAGTGTTCACAAGACACGATTTACTTTTCATCTTTCCCGACAGAGCATACCTACCCATATTCTGGCCACTACTGAGTACATCCCCACTTGTTGGCCCCCTGTTGATCGATACAGAAGCGTTAGCTACATTGATTAATTCCCTGCAAAGATCATCCCGTGACGACACTCGGCGCTGATTTAGGTACTTAGTTTAATTACTCCAATAAAACTCAACGCTCTAATACCCACAAATGACATTTATGAGCCGATGTGAGCTCTGTTTCCGAGCCATAATTCCCGGCATATTTCTGGACGATAATTCATCCTTTTCAAAGACGGGCTAATTTACCGCCGGGCGGCCTGCGTCCCCGCCGGAGTTTCCCGACTTTGTTCCTGCCGACGATGTCGCAGACCGACGATAATTAAACACAGAAATCCAGCGTCGTTAATCAGCTGAGTGGTAATTATTACTGTCCAGACAATGCTGATGACGCCGCAACGTGTGAAAATAACAGCGGCGACTCCACTGCTGGAAACTGATAGGGATAATTGAATTAGCTGGGTAGCTGGAATGCGCTGGCATTGATGGCTAGATTGGGTTCGTCTTTGACGCAGCTTATTAGTGATTTGCCGCTCATGTAAATAATGTTTGGGATAATCGATTCAGACAGGCTCGTGGTTGCATGCTTACCTATATAAATATTAACTAGCTATTTTACCGCGGGAAACACCGTTGGGGAGAAGCTAAGGCGTGACGCCTTTTTTAGTGGGAACATGAGTGGAAATGGAAACGAATATCCAGCTTTCTTCTTGCCCCATGCTTGTTGGCTCCTGTTACGGGCTCCAAACACCCAGGGCCTCTTCATCGTCTTGCATGGCTATGCAATATCAGCCCGAACGCTCCGGAGCTATGCGCCACCGCACACGCCTCTCAGCATCATTTACATTTCCCATTTTCAGGCCACCGAGCAAAACCAGGCCATCCTTTTCAGGCTGTCGCTATTCGCCAGGGCAGTTCATCTTCCGCAGACCGACGGCTTCCCGCCGAAAATGATGGCGGGAAGTGCCGTCGGCCGCGGCCGCCAGGGCGGCGCCACTGTCCGTGGCCCGTTAAATCGTCAGCGGCGGAGCCGCCCGTGGAAATGTTGAACGATCATTGATCGTCGGACGCGACGGCTCGGCAAAGCAATCATAGGACTCTATATCTATGTGTCTGGTGATTGGAGATCAATACCAGGAGTCAGTGAGAGCGGTAGGGAGCGGGGCAGAGCGGGGGGGGGGGAACCCGAAGGCTTCCGAGACGCCTGAGGTCACCTCAAACGCTGCAGCTGTGACATGTAATTGATTCTGAGCCGCAACTTTTGTGATCCGAAGTCGAACCGGACTCAAATGGCGCTGGTGGCACAGCTTGATCGACCAATCAGCGGCCGAGTTGACGTAGTGACGTCGTTGAGGGGCATAGTTACGTCATTGATTGAATGGCAACTACCAGTTGGCCGGAAAGAAACGAGTGCTTGTTTATTCGAAGCGTCGAAAATCCGGATTCCCTTGGCTTTACAAAGCGGGTGGCTAAATGATGAAGTTAATCAATGAACTCAAAGTAAAGCGAACAATGCAATAAATAGTCATAAGTTGTCGTGCTACACGTCACACTGGTGCTTTGGCTTGCGATTGCTAGCTAGTTCTGACCAAAATAATAAACGTCAGTTAAGAGGCATTAAATGCCCAAATATACTATCTCGCCACCCTCATTCCAACCTCAATCCATTGCTCCTCCTTTGTAACTAACTGTCTCTGCTGACATAATCCTCTATTTAATTTCCAAGACATTGTGAATAAGTAGCACTATATGTTTTTTTTTGTCCTCCCGGCAAGCCATGAGGCTATAGCCGGGGGAGGGGGAAAGTTACTAGCACTTATGTTTATCACTGTGTTAGTGCTCGCAGTCACTCCTGACCACTCTTGGCGGGTTCTTTGTCACCGTCGGTGTCTGTGGCGCAGTGGCGGCGTTTACGGCGCGCGGTGCGCCACTTTCGTGCCGGTGCGCCAGGTGCGGACTGAGGCTGCTGTCTGTCGCCGCTGGGACCCTGTTTACAGGCGGTGGGATTTGTTAGTCGGGCGGTGACACGGCTTCCGCTAATGATGACCCACAAAGTGCGGCGTGCAGTGGCGCACCCAGTGAGGTCAAATGAGGAGGCCGCTGGGATGTAGTTTGTGCAGTGGCGCGCTCAGCAGGGTCAGCGGGGCAGGCGGCTGGGGTGTACTGGCGCGGTGACGCACCAAGTGTGGTCAGCTGGGGGACGCAGCCTGCTCCAAACTCACATTGCTCACAAACGCAGACGAACACTGAGATAAGATGACTTCTCTTGTGAGCTCAACTGAAAGTTCCGCCAAGACGAGTCAAAACAAATCACTACGCAGAAGTGTGTCGCACTTCGTCGGGCTAACAATTTGCATTCGGGACAACATGACTCGGAAATTCTTTGCTCATTTTTGTTTTCCTTTGTGTGAACAAAAAATAAGGGAAATATTGCTGTTCGACGACGAACATATGTAACTACAGCTCCATTTGTCAGCTAGTCAAAACACCTAACCAGGAATGGCTTTAGCAATAACCATCATTTAAGTAGCCATGCGATCGGAGTTGGCACTCACCTTCTGATATAGCTGGACGCTTATGCGCCGCCGCCGTTAGGAGTGGTCTGTGAAGTTGTCAGCCTCCCATACATGACAGTCGCGCTACCTGACACTGATCAGATACGATCGGAGCTGCGTCAAGGCAGCCGCGGGCACCACAACGCCTGTCAGAGCCCTGCTAATTATATCCAGCTTCTGGCACGGCGACGGTAATTATGCAATTACTAGGGAGGATTATAGAGCTGATGGTCGCTTGTTACCCATCACAGATGCAGACACAGCATGCTACCTGACTGAATCAAGTCACGTTTGGATGTGGCGTCATTGTCAGTATGGCTTCCGGTGAAAATATGATCAGTTGGAAAGTATGATCGGTGACCCCATCAGCCAATAAAGAAAAAGGCCACAAATGTCACAAATATTCATTGTTTGCGCATTTATTACCTTTCAATTTCTTGCTGTAAGCTGTTAATGAATCATTACGTAGGATAAGACCTGATTGATTATATTATATTCAATAAGTCAGTTTTGCTCAGTTTTCTGTTGATTTAGCAGCCCACTTAATGACTTTTGATAATTAATCACCACCCTTGGCCCGTGGTAAAACTACTGTAATTCGCTAGCCATCTGTTCCTTTAGACCGTCACGGCACAGACTAAGCAGTCACCTGCACTGGTGTGAATTGATCACCAGGGATGTCGCCGTGACCTGCAGGGACGGGCGGGGGCGACGGGCGGGGGCGACGGGTGGTGGGCGGGGGCGGGGGCGTCCGCGGCTCTGATACCCAGCACCGTCACGAGCGCTTCTGTTATGTTAATGAGCCGGGCGGCGGCGCGGGCGGCGACTGTCGCGTCGGCCCGATTTATTGCCGTGCTGGAGACGTGTCAACTCAACGGGCGGTGCCGGTGGTGGGACACAAAGGGGGCGGAAGGGGGAGAGAAGGCAGCACCTGGTCACAACAGTTGGAACAGGCTAGTCTGTCACAGTAAGCCGCTGTGATGTGTCAGTGGTGTGAAACGGTGTGATAGATTGGGGGAAGCAACTTAAAAGCAACAAATGATCATGTGAAGTTTATAATAACAAGGAATGAATTGCATTAACCTTTCGTGGAGGAGATAGCTAGGAACCCTGACCCACCCCTCACCCCACCCTTACGAGCCAAAGAAGACGACGGACACTGCAAGACAACGGACGGACCAACAACGAAGACGGACGACAGAACCGGGCCCAAATACAGGACGCTGTGGTGGCCCGTAAGCCAAAAATACCAGCTACCAGCCAGATTAACCTTTCGTATTCTTAGCTGTGAGTTTACCAACCTGAAACAAACTCTCTCATTCATGCGCAAAGCCAATATCTTCTCACAAGAAATTAATTCCAGGCCTTTCGCTAACGCTCACAAAAAATTACCCACCAGTTCTGCCTTCTGGATAGTCTTCTTTGTCAGCTTGCCATCCGGGGGACTTACTAAGAGAATACTTGCCAAAGGTTTTCTTGGAATGAAGGTGGTGCTGAGTGCACCGTGGTGCCTTGCTGAGAGCGAGGGACGACCCAGCTGCAGGGAGATGGGGCCACTTAGAGTGGTGACCCGCGTTGAGGCAATTCATCGGCGTATGGCTGAGGGACAGCGCCGCGGTATATGACTGAAGGCCAGGAGACGACACAGCGCGCTAGGCCTTTCCTCTGCAGCGGCCCGGCCGACCACTAGATGAATGACCGAGCATTCGGCGCAGAGCCCTTGCAAAACCGCGCCGGCGTTGCGAAATGTGTCAATCAGCGGGTGCATCCGCGTGTTGAATGGCCGCTGGCTGTCAGGGTCTAACTGAGGCAGGGGCTGTCAGAGGTCTGATTGAGGCAGGACTGTCGGATGTCTGATGGAGGGGGAGGATGCTAGGGATGTGGCAGAAGATGTCAGGAGTCTGACCGAGGTCAAAGTGATGAGCTGCTGCCTTTTTCCGTGGCTCGAGGTGCTGACCCTCCACAATGAAAGGAAGCGAGAGCTGAAACGAGGATGTTTAGAGCTGACCTGTTTATATCTTGCTGATTGGTGCCTCCCGCTAGGCACTACGTTGTGCTTTCCTTTCTTTTATCCCCTTCTTCCTCTCTCCCTCCTCTCTGCTGCCAAGGTGCGCCGCAGGGGACCGCAGTATAGCACGGCGCGGACGGCGGCAGACAGACTGGTATAAATAGACTCGGCCCCGGCGAGTGACGCGGAAAAACCGCCGGCCGCGGGATGGGCCGCAGACTCCGCGTGGGGCAGCACAAGCGGCCATTGTCGTCACTGGGACTGTCAGTGTCGCAGTCGCCGTCAGCACGTGCTACCGCAAGCTGTATGTAGCTAAAACTGAAGTCGTGGCCGTAATGTCACTGCTGTGATTGTTCACAGTTGTCCCACCGCCGCCAATAAATTCCGTGTTTTTATTGGTCATGGATACTACTTAGCTTCACTACATACATCAACTTAGCTCAGGTCAATGCTTACATCCATAGACGATTCTAGGAATGCTTGAGTTGACGCTGTCGACCGCCCAATCACATCCAATAATATTTGACTACCTTTGCTGCTAGTTGTAATATAGCTATCCCACCCGCCGGCTCCTGGCCTCTTACCACTCGGTAGCTACTTTCTTAGTCAATCAGGCTCCCCACTCACCTCGGAAGGCCCGCTCCCCGAGTCTGAGCCCCTCCCCGAGTCTCAGCTCGGCCCGCCGTCGCGCGTCGCTGCCGTCGCGTCGCGCCTGGCACGTGGCCGCCGACACGCTCCGGCTGTCGGCGCGTCGTTGTCGACTTTGGAGCGCCACTCATTGTGCTCCTTCGTCGAGGCCGACGCTCGCCAGCGACGCTTCGACGACGCTCTTCGGACGCCCCGACGACGACCATCGAAGCTCGTCGTCGACGTCGTCGCCGGTTGCCAGCGGGCCAGAAATACCTGGTGGCGCGAGCAAATAAAAATAAGCGACGCCTGTCGTGAGTAGCACGCCACTCACTGAGAGGGGAGAGTGAGGAGGGTGTGGGTAGAGGAGGGAGGAGCGAGTAGGGAGTCTCGAGCCGTCTTCGGACGGCTCTGGCTCGGCGCTGAAGGGGCGGTGTACTCACGTGTGAGAGATAATACTCTCACCGCGCCCGCTGACAGGAATGTGAGCTATGTGCGGCCGGCGCCAGCTGTTGTCAGAGAGAGCGGTCGCGTCAGGGGAGCGGGAGGGGGGGGGGGGCAGCTCTGGCAGAGGGGGAGGGAGGGTGTTTATTTTTCTCCATCCGTCGCCAGGGTTTTCATCGCGCCAACAAATTGTGCCGAGCGATAACAAACAGCCTGCTCTCCGGCTCTGTAAACCAGATGCCGACGTGGCTTGGATAAATATTATCGGAGGGAGAGCCGCGCTCGGTCGAGCGGGTGTCATACCGCCCCCCACCCCCTCCTCCGCCCCTCCCGGACGGGGACGGGTGGGGGGCGGCGCGGGTGGTCGCCGGGTGGGGAGGGATGTTTGCTCGGCTGGGGGGGGGGGGGTGTCTGTGGGAGACGTCCCACGCGGCCCGATGGCTGGCATCCATTCGGATACAGTGTGTAGCACCGCCGATGATGGCCGCCCCGCCCCCGCCCCCGCACCTAATTCTCCCCTCCCCGCCCCGGCTTACGGTCTCTGTTTGGGCGGAAACGATCCGAGGGGATGACAGCTGCGGGGGCGGGGGAGAGGGAGGGGGCAGAGCCAGGTGCTGTGACTGTGATTACGGCCCGCCGCCGAGCCATGCTACACATACACACACGTCACGGTAAATGAGATAAACGAATGGGAGTGGGACGGCGCACACTGCACAGTTGTGGTGGAACAGATAATGGTATCGGGCAAATAGCCCGGGCGCGCGCCCTATCAAAAGGAGAAACAGTGGCTGGTGACGTATGAACTATAGAGGAATTATATCGGCGCTAGGCAGAGCTACGTACATCTGAGAGAGAGATAGAGAGGGAGAGAAGGAAAGAGAGAGAAAGAGAGAGATGAGTGATATAAAGAGAGAGAATAAAAAGAAAGAGAAAGAGGAAAAAAGAAAGAGAAAACAAGACGAAGAGAAAGAGAGAGAGAGAGAGAAAAAAAAGAGAGAAGCAGACGAGAGCAGAAGAGAGAAGAGAAGCAGAGCAGCAGACAAGAGAGCAGCGGACGCGATGAAGAACCCTTCCCAACCCCTACCCATTCTCCCCAGACGACTATTACCGCGCGAGTGACCACCGGTGGCTGCTGAGCGCACTTCCGGCCCCTGTCGCTTCCGGTGCCGCCACTTCCGGCGTCTCGCGTGGCCACTATTGGGCCCACTTCCGGTCGGTCGTTCCGGCTGCCCGGGGAGCCGTCTCCGACGCTCTCTCGCTCTCTTTTCTATCTCTTCCTTCCCTCTCTATTTTCCTCCCCCCCCCCCCCGCCGCCATCGCTATTCTTATCCAGAAGCTCGGTTTTTGCCAGTGCTGGGTGACAACTCCCTGGAACTATCAGCCGACTATAAAAAGCTGACGCTCAAAGTGGCGCGCTGAGGCGAACGTAGCGCACCGGCGACGTGGTGGTGGCGCCACGAGTGTCTTTTTGTTGACGGCTAGTGGCGCGGTGGTGACATTTGTCGCCATGACGTGGTCGGTGCGCTGGAAGAGGCGGGGGAGGAGGATGGACTGTAAGGAGGGGAGGGTGGGGAGTGGTAGGAGAGGCTGGAGAGAGAGAGAAAGAGAGAGAGAGAAGAGAGAGAGAGAGAGAGAGAGAGAGAGAGAGAGAGAGAGAGAGAGAGAGAGAGAGAGAGAGAGAGAGAGAGAGAGAGAGAGAGAGAGAGAGAGAGAGAGAGAGAGAGAGAGAGAGAGAGAGAGGAAAAAAGTGCTTATGTTGTTGATAGTACAAGAAAAACGCGATGGGGCTGTGTGTTTTTAAATGGGGAGGGGAGGTATGTGTGCTGCTCACCTATATTAGGGATGAAAGGATGCTGTGTTAGGATAAGAGGAGCAGTGGCTGGAGGGAGATAAGAGGTGAGAGGGGGCGGTATGTAGGCGGAGGGGGAGGGTCAGGAGCCAGTGAGGGGGCTGTGTGGGCTGCCCCGGTGATGGCGATGTGTTTGACAGGTGATAGAGAGCCAACATTGGCGAGAATGGCGTGCTCCCGGACAAACTGTGGCCTGGCTGATAGGTGCGGGAAACCACCTCACCAGCGGAGCGCCGATGTATGAGAATCTGGGCTCTATAAACTTCCAGCGGCGAGCTGCCCACTGCCCACCAACAAAGTTTGGATAACTCTGCATCTGATGGACTGAATGTTAAACGTTTTGCATGAGTTATACACTTTTGGAAGTTTGAAGCCCTGCAATCAAAAGAACAAGTACTGTGGTGAACAGCATTATATGTAATATAGACGTATTTAATGGAACACCCTTCTGTTCTAATGGCTATAAATGTTTATCACTTGAACCGGTGGAGGAACGCCTCCGAAATACATTCTAGTGTTTTTTTTTGTAACTTTTGACAATTCTTAGAACTTTGAACAGAAGGTACAATATTTAATGAATCAAATATTGAATCCCAGCACTTGAAAAGCAGTGGCTTGTGAAAAGCAGCATATAATGAACATAAATTCGTGAATTGCATTGTTTATTAAGCATTAGTTCGTTTGTTGTCTTAATATACATATAAGTACAAATCAATAGAGTTATGTAGATGTCTATGTACACCACAAGCATATGATATGCAAAATGTTTCTTGAAGTTTATATATCTTGTTAAATGTCCTTGAGAAATATTTCAACACAATGCACTTCGAATTCGCACACAGCCATTAAATACTACTATAGCCACCATCGTATATTGTAGCACAGCGCGACCATAAATTATTTTAGAACAACCCACCGACGTTGGTGATCGTAGATTTATATCCCACGAATGGTCGTATAAAATTGAGATTCATGGACGATTACAGCACCTCTGATCCCAGCGTTACGACGCAGTAAATATCAGACATTCTCTCTGAGGTTCACCGCCAATTAGAGCGGGGTTAACAGCGCCAGCAGAGTGCCGAGCTAATGAATGAACGCCGAGTCTTTGATATGTGACCCACGCTGTTAATCAGACTGCTCCGGCTGTAGGCGGCTCATTTTTCAGTCCCGCATCTGATATGGACATACACGGCTGTTAATTGCATGTAGATTGTCGGCCTATGTGTGTCACAGGGCGCTCTTTAGCTGTGTGAAACCCCACCGCTGCTGCTGATAAGAACAGTTAGGTAACACCCGGTAATGTCGTCACATGTGCTCGGGTTAAGTGATTGCCTGGGGCGGTGGAAGGGTCACCTGGTCAGTTGCAGTTCATCATATTTCTCCCCCTCCCCAATGAGTGGCTTCCTCATTATCCACCTTTACGAGCCCCAACCCGGACGTATTACCTTGTCTCTAATTGTTGGGCGACGTGCCTGTCGGCGCCTCGGTAAGTGCCGAACACAGTCCGCCGCTGGCGGCCGACCACTCCGTGACTGAGCGCCGTTATAAACCGCCGCGCGCCGGGCGGGCCCCATTTGGTGGCGCCGCCAATTGCTTTGCATAAGAGCTACTTCATTTCCACTCCGGGACAGCGGCGCTGTTTCAACAGCACGGCGGCTGATTGTCGCAGAGCGGGCCCCGACCACGCCGGGTTGCATGACGGAGAGGATTTCATCCAAATGAGGCCCGGATAGGGGTTCAAACAGTGCCGCTGCGACACAAATTAACCCGGGGTAAATTACGACCGACACCGAGCTGCTGAGCTAGCTCGGTGGGAAGGAAGGTGAGCAGTTTCCGCCGGAGATCTGCCGGAATTAAGGCACGTGTTGCAGAATGGCTAACAGTATTCGGGTCAGTATAATAAGCGCCTGCTTGATTCTGGTGGTCACGGTCACGATCCATCGGATCCATCTATGGACGCTTGAATGCGGTTGTCGGGGTATATTGAGTTAGGCGGTTGTAGCGTTTAGAAGCCTCGGATAGAGTCGGGCAGCTCTGAATACTGCCTAACAGCGTCTGGCAGAGTCTGGCAGCGTCGCGGCGGCAGTCCGCTGGGACTCCGTGGTCGTTACCGGGGCATCAGGGTCGCCGAGAGCGGCTCAATTCTCGTCGGCTTTTGTGTGCCAGCGGTGCTGAGTTAGTGCGCCTCTTTCCGGACCGTATCGCGACAAATGTGGCGCGCTGCAGGGCGGCCGCCGTCTGTGCCTTAGATGCCACCGTCTCCACCACCGTCGCTGCCGCCATTTGCTCTGCGCTGACGACATCGCCACCGTCATCGCCGCCACCATCGTCGCCCTGAACGGCCTCGCCTGCTGGCAACAACGACAGAAACGCCGACGACAACGCCGCTGACCCGAAGGCAGAATGGCCAAAGTCGCGACCTCAATCGACTGGCAAGCGGTGCGGAAAACGAGGCACCTCAAGCGGAAGATGAAACCGCCCAAAATCAGCAAGGCCGTCAAGTACGGCCTGGCATTCTTCAACGGGGTGTTCTGGATACTGAGTTTGCTGCTCATTGTGGCTGGGTATTACTCAATCACGTCTGCAGATACGGCTGCCATCAAAACCACCAACGTGTTTGCGCTGGTGCTGAACATCTCTGTCCTTTTGCTGCTGATCGGAGTGGTGATGTTTGTGATCAGTCTAGCGGGGATCCTCGGCACTCTCCGAGAGAACCTTCCGCTTCTGCAGTTTTATCGCGCCTGCATCGTCCTTTTCCTTGGTCTCGAGTTCTGCCTGATGATATTCTGCTTCAGCTTCGGCAGCTACATCAGCGGCGTCGTCAACAGAGATCTCCCGCAGAATACGGTGGCCACCTACCGCGACGACGCCAACATGCAGAACCTCTTGGACTTCCTGCAGCGTCACTTCCACTGTTGCGGCGTCTCGGTGGCGGGCTACCTCGACTGGTCTGCCAACGCCTACTTCAACTGCTCTCCCTCCAACCCCAGTGTGGAGCGGTGCAGCGTCCCCTGGTCGTGCTGCCTGCACCCGGACAACACGCCGATACGGGACACCACCTGCGGCAGGGGCGTCCAGAAGCTGACCGCCGTCGCCGCCAACGAGAAGGTGCACACGGACGGCTGTGTGTCCGCCGTGGTCAGCTCCATCGAGGAGCACGGTCACATCGTCGGCGCCTCGTGCATCGCCGTGGGGTTCGCCCAGGGAGCGGCGCTGTACCAGGCGACGCGCATCAGTGTGCTGCTGGAGAGGATGTCCCAGAAGAAGAGGAAGGCGGTGAAGGAGGCGCCGCTGTTCAGTGTGGCGCGACTGGTGTTGCTGGTCGGCCTGCTGACCGGATCCCAGTCGGCCGCAGAAGAACCGGACGAAGAGGAGGGAGGAAAGCGGAGGAAGAGAAAGAGAAGGAACGATGAGGATGGCGATGATAAGCGGGCGAAGAAGAGGAGGAAGAAGGATGAAAGAGACAGACGGCAGAATGCTAAAGGGAGGAATGTTTTGGAACAGGGTGACGTTGCTAGTGCAGAAGATGAAAGCGATGGCTCGTCATCGTCGTCTGATTCTGATAGTTGACATACTTGGTCATCACATGGTCATTTGAATAGAAGTAGAACAAAGATTCACAAGACAAAAGCGGAATAAGGGTCATTAGCACTTCAACCAAGGGAGTCGGCTTTTGCACTTGTCATATGGAGCAAACGCAAAGAACTGTTTTGTACCAGGTACTGGCGTTGAAGGTAATGCGTCTGGCCGCTAAGGCCATCGTATGCAACATGAACGGCGTCTGGATGAACATGTTCCTGTTATTGAGCTTGCCTGACCTGAATCATTTAGTTCATTTATTCACTGGTCCTTGTGTTGTCCTTGTTTGCCATATGCTCAGCGTTGTTAAGTTCCATGTGTTGTGTTTCAATTGATGAATTTATTCAACGCTCATCAGAGCATCCAGTGCTGGGGTTTGTCAGGATACCCGGGCAGCGCTTGTCGAACAGCACTGCGGATCCGAAGGTTGGGACTTTAATTGTGAAAAACCGCCCGCCCGCCGCCAAACGCAAACACCGCAAAACGCGCAAAACGCATGCCTAAAACGCCAACGCAAACTTCGCAAAAAAAAAACAATCGCCCGCCCGCCGAAAACCGCAGAAAAAACGCACAAAATGCCGCAAAAAAAAAACGCGCGTCCGCCGCAAAACACAAACACCGCAAAAAACGCAAACACCGCCGCCGCAAAAAAACGCCCGCATCGCCCGCCGCCAACCGCGAAACGCCGTAAAAAAACGGCCGCACGCCGCGAACCGCAAAACGCCGCAAAAACGGCCGCCCGCCGAAAACCGCTAAACGCCGCAAAAAACGACCGCCCGCCGCTAACCGCAAATAACGGCCGGCCGCCGGCAACCGCAAAACGCCGTAAAAAACGGCCGCCCGCCGCAAACCACAAAACGCCGCAAAAACGGCCGCCCGCCGCAAACCGCAAAACGCCGCAAAAAACGGCCGCCCGCCGCAAACCGCCGCTAAAACGGCCGCCCGCCGCCAAACGCAAACAGCAAAAACACCCGCATCGCCCGCCCGCCCGCCGCCAAACACAAAAACCGCAAAAAAAACGCAAACACCGCCGCAAAAAACGCCCGCAACGCACGCACTGCCGCCGCCAACCGCAAAACGCCGCAAAAAACAGCCGCCCGCCGCCAAACGCAAACACCGCCAAAAACGCAAAAACGGCCGCCCGCCGTCAAACGCAAACCCCGAAAAAACGCAAACACCGCTGCAAAAAACGCCCGCCGTAAGCAAAACGCTAACACTAACGCATTAAGACAAATATGGCGCCCTGCGGCAAATGTGGTGCAATCATATCTGCCGTTTAAGCAGCCATGCCTTAATTACAGTGCATCCTAATCGTCCAATGTTCGACAAAGTTACGCACATTCTGCGCTTTGCGGCAAAAATGGCGCTTTGAGACAAACGTGGCGCACTGCAACAAACATGGCGCATTCGTTCATGTCGCTTAACAATGCAGCCACCCACCAAATTTGAACTCAATCGGACCATATTTGAGAAAGTTATGGACATTTGAATATTTCACGATAAAATATCTCCGCAAAGGAGGAGCCCAGCTGAACACGTGTGCCACGTGACCACTGGTGATGAAAGCAGGACCTGTCCCCTCACCGACTGACCCAATTTAGTGTTCTTGGCTGGTTCTGATTCCACGCTATACGGCCACCAGTTGGCCAAAACACCATTATGTGGGAGGTACTCGACTCAAACACGTGGCCACGTGGCACGTGCCGGACCTCTGATAGCTTCACCGTTCACGCCACGTGATGACCCATCGACGTGGCCATCAGCATGTAAAAGATGACCCCGGCCGGTGTCACCGTCTCTGAACAGTGGACGGCTAAACTCGAAAAACGGGAAAATTTAGGGAAATTTCACCTTTCGAATATATAATTTCCCCAGATTTTTAAATTTTTCATTTTACAAAAAATCCGAGATAGCAGTTTTTTAGCCCCCTTCATTCTGTGCCTAAACCCGTTTTCAGATTGACCCTATCATAAAAACTGACGGCCTGACGGCTATTTCCCCCACTCATTGCATTTCACAATGCTAGTATATTTAAGCACCAAAATTGACCCCGTGCCACGGCACGTGCAATAGCACGTGCGCCACGTGACCACTAGTGCGACAAGCTGGACTCATCTGCTCACCGGCTGCGTTGATTTGGTGTCGCTAGGTGGAGTGGTTTCCGCGCCATAGGACCCCCAGTTGGACAATGTCGGATTTTCCCGGAGGTTACCCCATCAAACACGTTTGCACGTGGCACGTGCTTTTCAATCGCCCCATATCTGACCCATACCACGTGGTAGCCGACACCCTGGTGCACAACATATTGGAACTTTTTCAAAATCTAACGTGGAAATTTTTTGCAAAATCGATTTGAAAATAATTTTTCGAAATTACCATAGGCTCAACATGGGGTAACTGTCCGTCACGATTACCCGAAACTGTACCCTATGATTTTTAAATAATTACCCCCAGAAGGTGAGGTGCCAGCCCAAGAACTGACCCTAAAAATGTGGACAAATATTACTGAACAGATTTTGCGCAAATCGCATTTTCAATTTTTCCCCATGTTAACCCTATGGGAAAATGCACGTGCCGATTACCCCTAAACGGGTTAATTATATTTCAAGCGACCGGTACCAGCCGGTAGCTCCCCCACACGGGACCAAACGCTGAAAATGGCAAGAAAATCTACCGAGCCGTTTCGGCGGCGATCAAAATGACCCAAATCGCGGCAGAAACGCTAAACACCCCCCTAGAGAGGTAGCTCAGGTTGGGATTTTCAATAGAAAATCACAATTCTAAAGAATAGTGATTTGTCTAATTGAAAAGTCCCAACCTTCGGATATTTTCAATCGCCCCATATCTGACCCATACCATGTGGTAGCCGACACCCCGGGGCACAACATATTGGAACATTTTCAAAATCTAACGTGGAAATTTTTGGCAAAATCGATTTGAAAATTATTTTTCGAATTCGCCATAGGCTCAACATGGGGTAACTGTCCGTCAAGATTACCCGAAATTGTACCCTATGATTTTTAAATAATTAACACCAAAAGTTGAGGTGCCAGCCCTAGATCCGACCCTAAAAAAATCAGCAAATATAATTGACGAAATTTTTCGCAAATCGAATTTCCAATTTTTCCCCATGTTAACCCTATGGGAAAATGCACGTGCCGATTACCCCAAAACGGGTTAATTATATTTCAAGCGACCGATGCCAGCCGGTAGCTCCCCCACACGGGACCAAACGCTGAAAATGGCAAAAAATTCTACCGTGCCGTTTTCTTCCCTATCAAGATGACCAAAATCGCGGCAGAAACGCTAAACACCCCCCTAGAGAGGTAGCTCAGGTTGGGATTTTCAATAGAAAATCACAATTCTAAAGAATAGTGATTGTTCTTAATTGAAAAGTCCCAACCTTCGGATATTAATACATACTTTGCGGTGCGTTCACTGGGGATTCGAAGTTGTCGAATTTGGGAGAGCCAGTGCGTTATTGCCACGAGCGTGCTCTAATGAAATTCAGCGTGCGTTAATCGAAATTAACGCACGCCTATATTAAACAAATGGATATATTTACGTTATCGAAATTCGTCAATAATGAGATGATTTATCGCATAACCATACATTTAATGCACAAAAATAATTTAACAGTTAAGAGTGCTGCTATCGTGTAAGCATGCGTTCACAAGTTTATATATCCCTAAAACATCAAGCCCCTGTGGCCCAAAAATAAAAGCTCTTTAACATGGCGATTGCCTGGAATCGCACCTTAAAGCATATATTAATATTTTTAATACACAGTTTCCCTGTGCATAAATAGTTTTAACACACTCGATGAGTGATTAGAGCACTCGTGCGTTAATGCACTCGTTTCACTCGTGCATTAACCCGCGCCCTGATGGGGGGCATTTTGGCCCCCTGTGGTTTTTCTTAAATAGCGAGAAAACGGCGGCGCGCAGCGCCGGCAAATTTTGGGTACCTTATCGGGCATCAATTTGACACCTTCACACAAAATCTCAAGTCACAGGTCACCTCAGGTCAGGAGTTATTGAGGTCAAACTGAGGTCATGTTCGAGTAAAAATGAGCAAAAAACATGACATCTTGAAACGCTCACCAATTCTACAGTTAACAAGCAATTTTAAAGTTCTTTATGTGGATGTGTAGATAAAAGACGGCGCTACAAAACTGCTATCTCGGATTTTCGAAATTTTGGGATTTTGACCCCCAAAAATAAAAAAATGATTTTTTTAGAAAAACTCAAAAAATTTCCAAAAAATTTTCGAATTTCGAAAAAACCGGAATATATGTAATAGTCCCTGCGCTCTTCGATATACATACCAAATTTTAGATCGATACCTCTTTTTTTGGCCAAGTTATAGCGAAAAAACTGTTAAAAATTGATGACATCAAATTTTTGAACTCAATTTTTAGCAATTCCAGACCTCGTAGCGCAAAACAAAGACCACCATTGAACTCCCCGTGACGAGCTGCATCGAATCGATACCCATTTTATGCAAAATATCAACTTTGAAATTTGACCTAATTTGACCTGACCTTGACCTGACCTTGACCTGACCTTGACCTAATCTTGACCAAAACGTGACCTAAGCTGGCCCTAAAGTCTGTCTGACCCACATAATCGCATTTGTCATGTAAAATGGACCATAAAACATGTATCACACGACACTTTCATATTGTGACCCCCCCAGTGACCTGACCTCTGTGACCTGACCTGGTATCAGTGACCTCAAATAGCAAAATATGTGTTTGAAGAACATTTCCTCATCGATGGTTTTCAATGAAATGCATTTTTTCGATTTTACAACGCATTTCTTGAAATGCCTGTAAACGGTGAAAATTCGACCTTTGACCTGACCTGTGACGTCATCGGTTTGACCGAGGTCAATGAAATTAGGTCATAAGGTAGTTCCCCGTTGGGGCTATCCAACACCGTTTACCGCTTGTCGCTATGTTGCGTGGTTCTCGAGATCTGAGGGGGGGCCAAAATGCCCCCCCCCCATCAGACCGCGTTGCTCGGCAGACCCCATCTGGGCGCGGGTTAACACACTCGTGCTCTAATCACTCATCTCGTGCGTTACCATTTATGCACGGGAAACCGTGTATTAAGTATAATTGTCTGATGTTTTTTTCTGGATAGGGAAAGTACTAAGCAGGGGAAGCACTAAGCAGGCACAACGGCTATGATCAAAATTTGTCATTTCAAATTAAACTGGGCTCTTTGTACTGCAGAGTTTGCATGAAGAGATAATCCACAAATA